ATTTAATTTAACAACATTGACTGTTTTACAGTTACTAGCTATCATAGGACATTTACTTTATTTTATTTTATTTTATTTATTTCTTTATTTACTATTGTTTTGACTCAGCATGCTACAACTATTTTACTTTAATACTTTGGTGTGTTTCTGAATGGAATGGGATATTCAGTGGAAAAAAAAGATATGAAAGGTGGGACTTCGTTTTTTATTAATTGGAAAAATTGGAAAAAGTGGAAATTGGAAAAATTGCAGACCAGAATGAAGCCAGGTTGAAAGATATTTGAGATATTCAGTTTTGATCCTGGATCAACATGCTTGTTGGTCTTGGAACAACATTTTAACCGACAAATCAGAATTTTAGGGTTAGTCTTAGAGCTTGAACCACATTTTTATCAACCAATCATGTGCTTCTGATTCTATGTCTGTAGGTTATAAGTGAAATCATTGCGAATGTTTGATAGAAATGTAATTCGAGGACCAGCAAAGAATGTTGATCTAGTAACATTGCAAATAGTGTTCAAACACCAAGCCCAATGGCAAACAGGTGGCTCTTTAACACCTCCTAAACAAATCTGATCCACATTCTTATTCTCAAATAAAAATCCATTTTATTTTATTTACATGATTGCTCAAAAGCATCCTTAGGAAAATCAGACCAAAACATTTCATAACTCAATTGCTCAGACTGGGTCTCCTTCAAGTCTTTTAGTTCCTCAATCTGATAAGACCAGACCAGCACAGAGTAAAAGTCTTTTTAAAGGCTGATCACCAACCATTGGAGAGTTGATTGCTATATCTTGTCTCCCAACCGCTGGTACTGCAACTTCATTATCTCTGGGCATTATGGGAGGGCTTGTGGGAGAACGGGGCTCTCACAAAGTACCTCTTAGCTCTATGAATATCTCTGATCAGGAACATGATGCTACAGTAAACTGAAAGGACGTGACGTATGTGAATGGATGTAATGTTAATAATATTCCTTCTCAGTGACCTTGATTTTGCTTAGTAGGGTTCTTGGATCAAAATCCTTTCACAAAGTGCCTCTTAGCTCTATGAATATCTCTGATCAGGAACATGACGCTACAGTAAACTGAAAGGACGTGACGTATGTGAATGGATGTAATGTTAATAATATTCCTTCTCAGTGACCTTGATTTTGCTTAGTAGGACGTGTTCTTGGATCAAAAAACTTTTCTTTTAGTCCTATCCTAAAGGAATAATTCACCCAAAAATGAAAACATTATTTACTCACCTTCATGTGGTTTCAAACCCATATAGTGTTATTTATCTGTGGAACACAAGAGGAGAATTTTTGAAGAATTTTTTTTTGCTGCAGTCAATGCTTATGTTGAATATCAAAGACATCAAGACTGGTTTTTGTTTCTCTTGATTAAAATCTGACATGACCTTTTTAAAAATAAATCTTAAACTTATTATTTTTGCTAGCAACATTTCATTTAGTTTATCTTGATGTACTAAAATATCTAAAACTAAAATAAAATGATAAAAAATATATAGACATTATGTAAAAAAAAAAAAAAAAACTCAAATGAAAACTTACTAAAATGAAAATGGAAATATAAAAATAAAAACGAATTCAAAAATATTCTTAAAAGCTATAATAGTATATATATCGTTAAATAACACTGGTGTGAAGATTTTTCAAAAAATATTTTTTTGTGTTCACATGAAAAAAGGGGTTGGAATAACATGATGAGGAGTAAATAAAAACATTTTCGCAACTTGAAATAAAATGTAAAAATATTTTTAAAAATAATTTCATTTAACTTAAATACTAAAATACTGAAGTACTCATAATAATTAGTACTAAAATAACAAAATAATAATAATAATAATAATAATAAAGGCTAAACACTATACAGACCAAAACTAATAAAAATGACAAAAACACAGATGAAAATTGAAAAATAAAACCTAATTTTAAAAATATTAATAAAAATTATAATAATATCTAGTTATAAATAACATTGTTTTGTAGATCATTGTTTTTTGTGTTCACTTGAAAAAAAAAAACAGCAGGTTTGGAACAACATGACGATGAGAAAATAATGCCAGATTATTCACTACCCCTAAAAATACAGGGAACAAATAGTTAAGATCACTGTTAATGCCCAAACCCGAACACCAAGCCTAAACCAAACTCTACAATCTGATGTGCTGGGACCCATGTGGATGTTCAGGAACATGTCCTACAAAATCATGATCACTCAAAGGTTTATGTGAGGGAAAAAAGCTGCTCTGAAAGACAATAACTCATCTATAACACACCAAAGAATGCATGCACTCTTTCAGATTACCTCAAACAGAGTATTTAATTTACAAGTGACAATGTGTTGTTGACATTGTCTAGACACACACAGCACACATGCAGTCCTCTCACGCAAGACTAGGAGATAAAATGGCCCTGTGTAATCGATTAACTGTGATGCAATTAATAAATCAATCTAAAGAGCAAAAAACAATGTGTAGACATCCTTGTGATTCAGCATATCAGCGGCTAACGTTAATGGCAACAACAGAAAGGGTTTGTTTGAATGTGTTCCATTGCAAAAGACTTAAGAAATCCTGTTCATCCAGTTAAACGAGCAGATAAGTGTCGAATTTCATAAGAACAGACTGTTACAATGACCCGAATTCCTCTTGGTATAAATCCCCTGCCATTATCACTAAACTATGGGTTTCATAGCATGTAAGTACTAGGCTAGTGGTGCTTGAAACCTCCTTATCATCAATCAGCCAATCAACAATACAGTGGTTTTCTTTGCCTGTAGCTCAAATAGAGGAAATCCAGCCACCTTGCCTCCATTTTCAGGCCATGTTAGGATAAGATGTGCTCGCTTGCATGCCGTGAGTGAGAAGTCCTGTTGAAAAAACCAGCATATGCTGGTTAGGTATGTTTTGACACTGGGATGCTGGTTTAAGCTGGTCCTTTGCTGGTTTAAACTGGTCCTTTGCTGGTTTAAGATGGTCCTTTGCTGGTTTATGCTGGTCCTTTTGCTGGTTTATGCTGGTCCTTTGCCAGCACATGACCAGCATAAACCAGCAAAAGGACCAGCTTAAACCAGCAAAGGACCAGCTTAAACCAGCATCCCAGCGTCAAAACATACCTAACCAGCATATGCTGGTTTTTTCAACAGGGTTGTGCGACTGCCTTTGCAACCACGTGTGAGAACAGCACTTTGGTGAGATGGAGCATATGCACATCGTGGTCATGCTATCTTACAGTTGTTACGGTCTCAGACTGTTTAATTCAAAGCTTACGCATTTGATGGGTCACAGGTTACGATATGTGACAGTCTCTACAATAACTTTCCCAATTTACCCTATATAGCCTGTTTTATAAAGTCATTTACTGTTGATTAAACAAACACTTTAGGCGTTAACAGCGCGTTTAACCTCACTACCCCTTTTCACACTAGGGCTTTTTACACTGCGCTTCACCCTGGGTTATTGTCTTGTTAAAACTGGGGGTAAAGCCATTTTTAAGCTTGAGTAAAACAATGTTTCGCACTTGTAATTTTTAATTGCAATGCTAGAGGTATTTGGAACGATACAGTTTAAAAATGTTATTTAGCTGTTTAGGAACAGACAACCAATGATGATACACCAATTTCACATCATTGTCCATATGGCAAAAATAAATAAATAAATAAATGTAAAAAAAACAAAAACCTTTTTGTTGTAAACAGCAAAGCTCAACGAGATATATTTTCGAAATAGAAAATATATTTAGTTTCAACCTTTATATACCCAAATAATATTTAAAAATGTATTTTATGGGCAAGAAACACATTTCCGATCTTACAGTAGCCTACATTTAGGCTAAATCCAAGTGTGGGTAGCCTAGATCAAAACTACATTAATACTGATTTAATAATTTGTTATTATTTAATTTATTTATTATTTAATAATTTATTATGTTTTAATAATCTATTGTAATTCATTGTCCATATGGCAAAAATAAATAAATAAATAAATGTAAAAAAAAAAAAAAACTTGTTGTAAACAGCAAAGCTCAACGAGATATATTTTCGAAATAGAAAATATATTTAGTTTCAACCTTTATATACCCAAATAATATTTAAAAATGTATTTTATGGGCAAGAAACACATTTCCGATCTTACAGTAGCCTACATTTAGGCTAAATCCAAGTGTGGGTAGCCTAGATCAAAACTACATTAATACTGATTTAATAATTTGTTATTATTGAATTTATTTATTATTTAATAATTTATTATGTTTTAATAATCTATTGTAATATTTTGGAACATTGTAAGTATGTTCCTTGCTGATTTTTATTCAAATGAGTTATATGTTCACATAGACAACTAATTATTATTATGTTTTTTTATGTGACATGGCCTATGTGTATGTATTTTCTTAGATTGAAATAAACAGAGGACAAAATAATTTTTTAAAATATATATATTTATATTTTAATATATGCTTTTTAGTAATATACAAAAAAAATGGCCAAAAATATATTGGTAAATATATGTTTTAGCTAAATGTTTGGCCATTTGTTGAAAAAAAAAAAAAAAATATATATATATATATATGTTATAGCCTATTTAGAATAGTTAAAAAAAGAACTTGAAAGAAAGATAAAGAAGTTACAGTCAGAAATGTTGGAAAAAAAAAAAAAAATATATATATATATATATATATGTATAGCCTATATACCTATAACCCAGTTTGAAACATGAAACAACATAATGCTGGCTTACTTTAACACAGGGTTAGATACACAATTTCAAATGTGAAAAGCCCAAATTAAACTGTTAATCAGTACTTTAGTTGAGATTCAACAGAGAATTTGAGGATAATTCATGTTAAGGAAGAGGGAAAAAAGGTGAAAACACATTAATTAGAGGGGAATGGCGCGCGCGCGCTGCAGCAGTTGCCAGGAGATATCGAAGGGGAGGGGTTATGATTGGCTGAAGTGGGTCTGTTGCCTTGGCAACGGCAAATGGGTTTGGTAGCGTTGCTGTGCGGCGTGATCTGTGCGCAGCGCGGATGGAGGAAACGGTTTGAGGCGGCAGAACGCTCCGACTACTGACGCGCTTCAGCGGAAAAACGGCTTGAATGTGAGTAACCAAATCCAGTTCGGGGATTTCTGTGCTGTCGGTGGAGTTTACATTTGTGTGAGGAGCGCAGAAAGTTAACATTCTACAGGCAAGTTGACGGTTATCAGGCTGAGCTTCGGTTCCTGTATTGTTTCTCAAGTGCTCTTGTTTGTTGTTGTTCACATGTCGAATTTCACGGCGTTCTTGATCGGAATCATTGAAACGCGAGCGTTCCGTCGCTTCTGCCATGTGCTCGAATCCAGCAAACAACTTCTTTTGTGATCGAGGACACTTTGCTCAAGTGTTACCGCACTTCTGAGCGGAATAACGTTACCGATGTTTGAAATGATTTTGCGCGTCACTCTTTGTCTTCGTTAACATTGAAAGCGAGTTCGCGCGGAACTCTGAGTGAACAAATCAATGTTTTAACGTTCCATTCGTTTGTGATGCGTTCTATTGTCTGTTCACATGTGGGTAGTTGACTAATAACCTGGATATGAACTTTTTTTTTTTTCTTTTTTACATATTTTTTATTAATAAGTGTATGTCATACTAAAAGATCGTATATGATAATTACAAATATATTGTTTTAAAACGTAAACGTATCATTTTGATGTTGAACTACAAATATTTATTTGAATTTAGAAGTGAAAGTATATGTTTTAGATCCTGTAACCAGCCATTATTTGGTTTATTTATTTTTATTTTAACTGGTTCAATCACCTTATTATTTAATTGCACTTAAATAGTGCTGTGGTGAGATATCTTTTTTTGGCATACGCCATGTCTCTCAAATAATACAGGTCGTAAAATGCATAATATGTTTAAAAATAGTTTGGGATGGAGCATGTGACATTGATTATAATGTCAGCTACCCATATTTCTGACTGAACTATTAATTATTGATATTCACCACCATATTTTGCCTTAGTAAAGCTTTTTATTTGTGGACAAAAATTGACAACAGCAGGACTTTTGAGGTGTTTTATTAGTGATGGACGCATTAAGACTATTATTTGGCTAATATTTGGCCATGTTGAGTAAGCAATCGATAATTGTTTAATCGATTAACAGTGGTTCACCAAGTGTCAGTACCAAAATCTTAAGTATTGTCAATGAATTGCGCATTTTCTTTTATCAGATATTGTTTTGTGAGTTTTAGATGAATTAACACTGTGTAAAATAAGTGTTGTCAAATAAGTGGAGTATTGTGTGCATCATTAATTGCATCGTATGCGTGTATATATATATATATATATATATATATAT